AGGATCTGTGCTTGAAGTTTGAATTCCATTAAAATGTTCAAAGTTATGTGCCTTGACCAATTTAAAAGAATAAAATTTGATTATATTTGCTCAAGTTGATATGGTAAAGCTGTTATGTGCACGAAAGTCTAACAGAAAAGATACAAGTGGGCTGGTGCTTTTTTGCTAACCAGCAAGTATGTGCACTGATATTGTGACATCATTTGATTTGTATAAGAGGGTCCCATGAGCTACTCTGCCTTTGGGTCTTGCAAACTCTAAGGTCAGCTCTACCCATTTTCACCTTTTATATTATTAAACCAGTGGAAATTTTACAGTAAATTTTCATGTATTTTGTAATATTGCATATTTTTCTTTGATGGCTATGCCATCTTACTGTGGAAATAATTATTTATTATAATTTTTTTATATATCTGTCTACATCTAAGCAAGATAGGTACAGTATAATATCAGCAAAGTGTAGTAGCACAATTCTATTTCTCTATTTTTAAGCATATTGTAATCTCATCGGAAATTTCTGAAGTGTTTGTGGAACATCCTAATTAGATATCAGAAAGTGTAGATTCTCAGTTTTTGTGTTTATTTCTCTTACTATCAAAGAAAAAACTTAAAACTTATCTTTGAAATATTAAATTTTTTATTTTGTAGATATTTTGCATTTTTTATTTCATTATTAAGAAATTTAAGGAAATAAAATGTGACTTTGACAAAAGTTTCAATTTTCACTGTCACAGTTGAGGAGGAACAAAAGGAACAGAGTTTAAAACGGATCCGAGAGACATCACCTTTGTCACCAAGCCCTGAATCCTTGTCTGTGCCAGTTCCCCCACCTCCTACTCCAGAACCGTCTCCTACTTCTTTAGGTGGAAGTCAAACCATACAAGCTAAAGGTCACAAAGGTGAAGAAAGTGCAGGGGTATCACGACTAACAGTTCCTGGATCTAGTGCAAAAACTCTACAGCCATCTGATAAATTACCATTTGAAACAACAACTTCTAACATTTCAGTAAATTTAAGCAGTGTCATTAGCACTCTGGCACGTGCAGGCTCCGATTCACCAAAACCTAGTCCAGTGAGGTAAGAATCTAGACTAGTTGAATATAAAAAATCAGTGATTTCAACTTTATTTTTTATTAAATATTTAAAAAGTGCTTGTTAGGTGTAATGTAACTGTATATTATCTCCATTTTTGTTTAATATTATTTTGTCGGTTTAATATTTGTTCAGAAAGTCTGCACCACACCGCCTCCCTTCTGAAGAAAGCACAACAAAAACACCTGAAGGGACCCCCCCTCAGACTCCTCCACCTTCTGGTCTTCTGTCTTCTCTAACCTCCTCAGGTTTACCCTCCTTTGCTACTCGCTTCCAGTCTGAAAAGTCACCACGACCAATTCATCCACCAGTACATCCCAGCCAATCAGCCCCCAATGTTATAAGTTACCTGAGGATTAGAGGAGGTAAGTAAACAAGTTGTAGTTAGATGTTTTTTTACTCTAACTTTTGTTTAATGTGCCATATTATCTGAAATGTATAAACATGAAAGAATGAATATTAGATCTGACTTGCCATTATGTTTTTAATATATAGATAGTTAATGATACTTTTAAACCAATTCTTGTGTTACTTTGAAAGCGGAACTGTTGATTGATCAACAGAATTGACAACTACCTTTTAAGTTATAGTCAAATCAGTGGAATTTCTGATAGAAAAAATATTTGAGAGTATCTTTCTAAAAACATGTTTAGCTGAATAATTGGAATTTATTTGTAATCTCCAGTTTAAAGGTCACAGACTTAAACTACAGAATCACATCTGTATTTCAGCACATTTTACTTTATATATTTTCCTTTAGAGTTTTAGTTTTATAATACTTATTCAACAGACGTTGATTCTCTCCATTCTCATAACCTGAGCTTTACCATTACAATACGTAAAATGATTAAAAGTATTTTAAAAATTGTTCTTGCTTGACATTAGGACTATGTTTGAAGTTTGTTTCTCTACCCAGAAATTTGAAGGTAATTTTAAGCATTCAAAAGTTCATCGGGCACATTGAAGCTGTGTCAGATTTGTTTCTTCTCTTGTTAACTGAAAATGTTTAAAGAGTAATCACTTGTTAAATTTCACTCACATGGAAAAAATTTGATCTTTTGATTTGCATAATGCCCATTAATTAAACAAAATTGTTGTATTAAAAAAAAATCTCCACCAGCACAACATTTTACATTGCAGTTCCTTCCATAAATTGGAGCAGACTATTATGGGGAATAAAGCTGGGTGATTAGTGGTATTTGCTAATCAATCAATTGACAGCCCCATTAGTTGATTACATTTGATGAATTGATTAGTACACTGTTCCTCAAACCATGATACATACAAACAAATAGGACGACGTTGATGAATTTGCTACCAGCCAGTTGCTTTCCCTTTTGTCAGAAGCTGAAAATTAGTGACAGTGGCAGATAGCTTTAGAAGTTTTGCCATAACAAAAGTTTGGTGGCAACAGGAATTGAACCAAATACCCTTGAATAATGAGCTCCCTCCCCTCCCATCAAACTTGGACTAAAAAAACTTATAAGGCTAAAATTGGGCAGGGTATGAATAGCCCTTAATGTAACTTTTTGCTCATTAACAAATAATAATAATAGCAGTATATTGATTACTTGGATGGATAGCTGTAATAATCACAAACCCTAATTTTAATTTGATTGTTTTTGTTACAGTTGATTTAATCATAATTTCAGTTTATCAATTATTGGAGTAATTGAAAACAATAATATTTGGAAACACTAATATTGATTAATTGATTAAATTGTAATTTTGACTATTTGGTTAATTTACATAACACTAATCAATGTACTTGCTTTTATATAGGTAATTGATTAAATGATTAAATCTCAGTTATACTGGTGAAGTACAGGGCAGTACATTTAGTGGCTGCTTTGTACTGAATGCCTAGTGTGCAAGACATAAGAGAAGAGTTATGGTAGACAATGTATGAAACATAAGATATATGGTATACTAATAACTTTAACTTTGAAGAAAGAACGCTAATGTTACTCTCTCTTCTCTCTCCTCAAGGCATACGTTTAATTAATCAACAATGTTGTTAAAAAATGTTACTTTCATAATAATTAAAGGTCTGTATTTATTTTCTAATGAAATTGTTATTGTTCCTCTATTCTGTTTTGCTGTTTATTTTTATGCTAATTACCTTGCATGATAGATAGGCAAGATATGAAAAAAAAGGCACGAGAGAAACATTGCTTTACAAACCTTAAAACTTAAAAAAAAATTAGATATTTTGCATATGAAAGCATTGTAATGTTTACTGATAATCTGCCAAATTTCTTTAACATTTGCTTAATAATTTAAAAGTTATAGCATGAAAACTATAACAAGCACAAAATGTTACGAGGTTGGTCCCAAGGACTGAGCCTAGGGTGAAAGAGTTAATAAACATTTATAATTTGAAAGAGTGATTGATAAGGTCATCTAATGTTTTCACTACCAACCAATCATTAATTCCACTGCTGTTAGAAATGTGGATTGTATTTCCTAGTGATTAGAAAATTGGACTGTGTTAAAATGAAAATATATTCTTCAAAAGTGGGTAGGTATTTAATAAAAAGCAGGTATTTGGCTTATATATTTCATAAAGCTCAGACTTGGGATTAGGAATAATCCAACACAAAATTTTTAAGAGCTTTTATTCTTGATAAAACAAAAATCTTGGCATTCAGTTAGTATTCAAATGAAAAGTTACAATGTCAACATATAAAGAAAAATAGGTATTATTTTGCAGTTATTTTATAAAGTGCCCCCCATTGGAACAGAGGTATGTCTGTGGACTTACAACGCTAGAATCCGGGTTTCGATACCCGTGGTGGGCAGAGCACAGATAGCCCATTGTGTAGCTTTGTGCTTAATTACAAACAAACAAATTTTATAAAGAGAACTAGATATATAACTGTTTAGTTTTAACTTAACTTTATGGATTTTAACTGCACTCCATGGAAGTAGAGAAGATGTTGATTTTTGTGTCTTTCTGCAGCAAGGCATTTAATAATTTTTTCCTCTCAGTCATTCTGAGGTCAGTTACTTCTAAATGTATTTCTTTGCTTTAGTTTTTCTATTAACCTTTAGCTTTAGTAACTATTACATTATTTTAATGTTTTAACGTGTGTTATTAACATCTTTTATGGAGTAAGCATTTTTTTCATAAATGGTCATTACTAGTATGCAAGTTCAGTGCAAGTAGAAAATAAACTTATACTGAAACCATAAACTGATATATATATATATACATACATATTAGTACTCAGAAATAAATTAATCTCATTTACAACTTCTGTTAAATAGGTATTTGTTTTAGAAATATTATGCAAAAACTTTACATTTTTAATCATTAAACATTACTTTCACTTAAAGGTTCTCATTAATAACTGTATTAACAAATTGTGAATACATTTAGTTTTTAATATGAGATAATTGAAATATGGTGATCTGGAAATTTCAGATTGAAAAAAATTATAGTAACTCTTATAAGAAAGTTTGTATGTATTACAACAAAATCTTGTGAAGAGTAATTTATCAGAAATGTACAAATCAATGTTTAGAAGTGTTAGAAGAATAATAGTTTGTGT